CTGCGTCACTCTTGCGCACAAGCCATGCGCGTACCGATCACGAACCACGTGATGCCTCAAGCATGCATGAATCAATCAGGAAACGTGAATGAGTCGAATATCGTACTTTTGACTGTTTGATGAAATCAAGAATGCGAAGTCCAGAGTGGAGTTGCCGATACCCAGCATGCCTAAACGTGGCTAGTGCAGGAGATTCATCCACCTTCCTGACTTCCATTTGTGCTGCACAGCTTCAAGTGGCTCACACACTGGGAGATTGCCATACTTGCGACATTCCAAGGCCCGTGGAGGGCGCATCTCTCTCCGCCATCAGGATGCCAAGCGAGCCGAGTGAGAGGGGCGAGGAGCAGGGTCAGAGCGGATTCTCCACTCCGTCCACAGCGAGGGTCACGCCTGCAACGTCCACCGACATATCCAGATCCGTCACGCCTGGAGTATCAAAGCTCGCTGATCACTCGATTGCGCCAACGGAAGGTAACGCGGAGCTGGAAGCATTCAGGCAGCAGTGGCGCAAAGAGGTTCAGAGCAGAACTGCAGGCGTCAGCCAGAGCGAGGCAACAGCGAGCACGCCGAGTGCAGATGGTTGGTCTAAGCAGATCCCTTCCGGAAAGACAGCAGAGCAATCGGAAGCTGCGGTGCTTAGCACTGCTCTGCCTTCGAAGGAGGCTCGCAGAACAGCAAAGGCAGCACAATCTGACCCAGACACAGACCAAGAACGCGCGGCTGCAACTTTGTCTCACCACGATGAGCTAGATCGCTCTTTGATCAGAGGGGAGGACGAAGAGGGGAGCTATAGCCGGCCACATTCTCCGTCTCTCGCTTCAGGCCTGATGGGTGTGCCAGAAGCCGCCCAAGCACCAACAGTCTGGCGGCGAGAACCTCCTGCTGCGCAAGTAGATGAGGTCGAAGATACCATCACCACTCAGAAGCCCGTAGCTCCCGATCTGGCTGCGGCGAGGGCTAAGCGCGCCGCTGGGCATGCCAAGCAGGACGCTCAGGATCTCAGCACTTCGGATGGTCAAGCGCGTATCGAGCAAGGTATCAAGCTTTATGCGAGGGCGGTGGCCGCAGAGAAGCGAGGCAATAATTCGCAGGGTGAGTGAGCGCTTTAACACTCGCGACTCCGTTACAAAGCATCGACTCTGACATGATATACCTGCGCCTGGCCGCGCCTTCAGCTATTGAGCATTATCGCAGAGCATTCAAGCTACATGATGACGTCGACCGCTTCTTCCAGAGAGGTGTTGTCTTGCTCTCCAAGGATGCGAACGAGCATGGCATAGCGCAGCCAACAGATGCTTTGCTTCAAACCAAGGAAGTTTCGGATGCTGTGCGATCTGCAGCTGACACCTCGACGTCGGATGCAGT